CTAGTCGAGGGTTTAGGGTTCAGGGTTTAGGGTAGTCGAGGGCCTCGGGATTCTAGGAACGGACTGCATGCGACCAGATCGAATTGGGATCACTTTTTCGTTAAAGCCACCCCTAAACCCCCTCAACGCCCCTAAACCCTTAAACCCCTTCAACTGCCCCAAACCCTAAACTCCCCCTAAACCTCCTTGTCCCCTTTTGAAGACCACTAAACCCCAAAGTAAACCTCCTAAACTGCGCTAAACCCTAAACCCCTAAAATTTAAAACCCCCAAAACCCCAAAACCCTAAACCCCTAAAGGCCCTAAAGCCCCAAAACCCCAAACCCCTAAAGGCCCCAAAACCCCTAAAGGCCCTAAAGGCCCTAAAGTGATTCGGGGGCCATGGTGGACCTCGGGGCTTCGGGACTTGCGGTCCGAGAGACACCCTGAAAGGCAAACTCACTTTAGGGGTTTAGGGTTTAGGGTTTTAGGGTTTTAGGGCTTTAGTTTTAGGGTTTAGGGTTTTAGGGTTTTAGGGTTTAGGGTCTAGGGTCTGGCGGTTGGGGTTTAGGGTCTACCATTTAGTTTGGGGTGTTTGGGGCTTAGTGTCTAGCACTTAGGGTGGCAAATCCTTGGGGGTTTCCCGGAGACCACGGGCAGAGTAACAGAATAAGTTGTTGCAAGAGCTCGAAGTACCGCAAATACCACTTTGGCAACAGAGGCACGCTATTCGGAACATGTTGTCATCGTGCGTACCTATAGCTGGGAAGTGCGCGTGCAAAGATGTTAGAAACCAAGGTTTAGGCATCATTGGAACAAGAAAACATGCAACAAGTCAAGCTTTGTTCTTGTGGTAGGGGCATCGTCAGGTCACATCAGCCAGCAGCATCAGCATGAGCATGACAACGATCTTCATCATCACCATCACCAGGATAATCATGACCATCATGTCCTCATCACCAGTTCATCATCATGTCGTCATCACCAAGTTGTCATGACCATGTCATCATCGCCATGTCGTCATCAACATGTCGTCATCACCATGTCGACACCACCATGTCATCATTATCATCATGTCGTTAATCTCCCCCCACCCCCCACCCCCCGAAGTTCCATATCGAGGTTGAAATTCCAACCTGCGAGGCCCTGAACAAGAAAAGCTACGGGGATACCCCCAGGATAGACCTTTAGGGTTTAGGATTTAGGGTCAGGCATTTCGGGTTTAGGTGTTAGGGTGTTAAGCTCCAGGTTTCCCCTTCTGAAGATCCCTAAACCCTAAGCTAAACCCTAAGCCCTAAACCCTAAGCTAACTGGAGTCTCCTATCCTCATACTGTAGGAGATTCATTAGCCATCCTATTCCACAGGTTTCACCTTCCAGATACAGCTTTAGGCTTGAGGGTCTTATTCCCCAAAATTCCACCTTCTAGATACAGCTAACTATTTTTCATAAGGGTTTAGGGTTTAGGTTGTTATTTATAAGTTTCCCCCTGCTACATATAGCTATCATTGTAAAAAAAACTCCTCGGTTCAGTCCAAGGCAATGGAGATTCGTCGGCTAATGTAGAGAATGTAGAGGTCTTAATAATTTGAATAGGGTCTCTTTGCGGGATCCTTATCATAAGTATAGAAATATATGCCCCAAAAAACCGATTCTAATTATTAAGGCCCCTATACTGGTTGATTGGCTGATGCGCTGGCTCTTCGGAATGACGCGCCGATGCCGTTGATGAGCCGAAGGTGTGCTCAGTGGTGATTGCGTTAAGAAGCTGTAGGCGTGGTTTCCAGGAACATCATCATCATCATCGTCATCAACGTCTTCACCATTCTCCCAATAAGCTCTAGACTCTAAACCCTAAACCCAACACTAAACCAACGCCAGACCTCTAAACCCCTAGACCCACGCGGCCCAGGCGTCCCAACGGAACCGTACGTGGCGGCTGAAGATATGCCGAAGGCTGGGTCTCGGACTTCAGGGCTTTTCATTCAGATATCACGCTATGCTATACCCAGAGAACCCAATATCCTTTAATTAAGGAATATACCTTAAATTATATGGTCCTTAGTATTATGGTTTAAGGTATATTCCTTAATTTAAGGGGTATTGGGTTCTCTGGGTAGTGATATAATATATAGCATGAGATTGTGCGACGTCATGTTAAGCTTCGCTGTATTACATTGTACTACTACTATACTCGACTATTCTTTCCCATGCTGTACTAGCTGAGCGGCGAAGCAGAAACCCCTAAAACCTAAACCCTA